AAATCAAAAACATTGGACCCCACTGAAAAAACATCAAAACAAAATATCTTCTTTTGTTATCCACAAACAAACAAATAAATAAAGGAACTGGGAATCATCTTTTGGCAAAATTTTGAAAGTCAAAACAACATTGAACCATTCTTCAACAACATTGAACATTTCTTCAAAATATCTTCTTTTGTGATCCATAAAATAAAACATAAAAAATGTAAAATAAAAAAAATATATATAAATAAAAAATAAAACACTCACAATCAATCAATCAATCAATAAAAATAAAATATGGAATTGACCCTTCTCAAAAACCCACCCTCCTTAGTTACTGTTGCTATGTCCGACAAGCCATGCCGCTCTTACACTACACTCATGTTCTCACGCAGTAAAAAATAACTGAAACTGACAACACACCGACAGACAAGACAGAGCAGGTTACTTTTAGAATAAAACAAAGTCTCAGCTTTAAAATTTGATATTTTTTAAAGAAATTCAAACAATAAATATCATTTTGTGGCTCTTTAATGTGTCGTGACAGATCTCTGTATTGCCTCAGTTCAAGCGGCACACATGAACCGATCGTCTTTTCATATTAAAGCACAAAATAAACATGCATGAACATCATACGTATTTAATTTCAACCGATTTGAAGTTTAAGTCCACCAAAGTTCATATACTCTCCTGTCTGATTTGTTTGTTGGGCAAGATGGCGGATTCGGCGTTATGATTGGTCAATTCGCATGTCAATCAAGCTCTTTGCAAACGGTCAATTGGGAATTACTGTTTGAACATTTTTGAAAGTCAGTTTCTTTTTTTCGCACAACATTGTCAAAACAGCAGTAGACCCTATTGTCTTTAATTGTACTGAAATAAATGTTCTTCAGAATATCTTCTTTTATATTCCACAAAAATCATACAGGTTTTAAAAGAAATAAGAGCCAGTAAATGATGTCATGGGTTTAATTTTTTGGGCATTTGGTGAATTAACTATTATGCACATTATGCACAAGTATAATTTTTTCTCAAGTATGAGAACTCAATTTTTTCCAACTAAATGAATGACTCAGCTAAAGTGCTAACAGGTTGATGGATTATGGCAGGAAACTGACTTTGAATTGCATCCTCGCTGATGATTGACTCAAATTTGTTTCTTCCTGCAAATATATCAATAAATTGACATGACACATACCACCGAGCGAGAGAGAGAGAGTGTGGACTCATGCATGGCAGGAATGTGGCTAAGCTGCATCTCTTGTCCATCATCCACCACTGATGTAAGGCACATGTCAGTCACGCTCCTTCCCGCTCTCGCAGGGCAATCCTCACCCAATACCACATCTGACAGGTTCAGAGCTGCCTGATGCCCACAGATGAAGGACTAAGATGACAACAAGCCATTAATCCTGAAAAATATTGATAATATAAATAAGTCGAGGATTTGGACAGGTGAGCGTCCATGTGTGTCGTTAAACAAGAGTCCAATTTGCAGGGAACGTTCAGTGATCGCTATACCGCAGCGCTCTGCAACTTCAAACACACTGGTCTATTGTGCCTCCAAAAAAACAAACCTCATGAGGAAGATCCATGGTGGCAGTTTCATAAAGTGCACAGACTTCCTGCTCCAAGTAATTAGTCCGCCTGTATCAGCCAAGAGCACCTATATAGACTCATTCGAGAGTCACCTTTTAAGTGCACACCAGTGTCCTTGACCCCATAAGGGAAATACTGCAATCTATACTGTGAGCATTTAGCACAATTATGTGATAGTGTGCAAAAGCAAGCTGTTTAATCAATGCAATTTGGTGTCATTTTCATGTCCAACTTTGTCTAGCAGTAAAGGTAGTAATTGTCTGCTTTTAGACGATAATTTGTTTTGTTCCTGGGGACACTTTGCTTCAGGGGTGGTGTACCATTAACTAAACTGAAACTCTTCTGCATGTTTTCACCTGTATGAGAGCTATGCAAAAAATGCCATAACTCACCATATCTCTGGGCAACTGTAGACATATGAAGGAGTTTCTGAAGACCTTGGGCACATATTTCAAAGTGACAGAAACAACTCATTCACTACCTCATCGAAGCTGTCAGTTTATCGGTCCGTCTAAATGTGGGACATTTGGAAATCTACTTATTGGTAACCATAATGAATTCGTTTGAAGATTAAAAGAAAGGAAAAGTAAGCATAGTGTATAAAAGAAGTATATAGAAACCTACCACAGACGTAAAAGTTAAACTAGCCCATTACACTACTTTTATTACCTCATAATGAAGCCTCCACATTTAAATAACTCGCATATTTGAATAAAAATGTAAAGATGATAAGCTTAATATGAAGTCTTTGTGGAATTTACCAGTTTTTTTTTACCTGACAATAAAGGTGGTATCGTTTCAATGATCAGCTCTACCCATCAAATCTCTTGATTTATTAACCAGCCAAACACATGGCGCTATCATCCCGACAAATTACGACGAGTAGTCAGTGCAAACATGTTGTATTTTATCTGATTTGAATTAGGAATGGAGCCAACGCTGGGAGGAAGGCGCATGACTGCAGCACAGCGCGCTCTAGTGGAGATGATGGCATTACACTCCAACAGTAGCCCATTGAGAACGAGACGCTCAGCTCTTCAGAAGTCTGTGAGGGAGAGTAACATGTATGCCAGTATTCCGCTTGTTATATGCGAGAACAAATGCCTTGTTGCTGATTTATTCCCGGGGAGGTTATTTGCGATTTTTTAAGTCCCTCAGAAATGTGAAGATGAAAAGTCCTATGAAACATGGATCAGATAGGCTACAAATAAGGCAGAAATATTCTAATAATCTACTTTTAAACGCACCAAGATTGTAGAAATAAAATCTTTGTATTCATGTTTCGGTGTAATCATCAAAAAAATGTAATCCTCATTTAATCACTCTAAAGATGTCAAGTGGTGTAACCTAGAAACGTGCGATATGCTTTTCCTGTGCGCTTTAGACAGGCTACACGTTAATGTAGGCTACGCAACTTTATAGCCTATGTATTAAAAAAATTAAAAATAAAAAAAAAAACTTCTTTTTTTTTAAATAGGCCTACGATGCCTATTTTTTCTAAATAGGAAAATAAAAAAAATAAAAACTTCTTTTTTTTTTAAATAGGCCTACGATGCCTATTTTTTCTAAATAGGAAAATAAAAAAAAACGTCATTGTAAACATAAAAAAAAACATTAAAAAAAGAATTATAAAGAATAAATTATGAAAACATTTAGCCTATTTTCTCCCTCTCAATAATTTCAGCCTTTTAATCCATTTTTTCGCCCCGTTTTACCTCCAGACAGTTAAACCACAGACATTTTGTCTTCAGTATTTATAAAATATCAAAATGAATTTTAATTCAAAACCTACAAACATGCTAATCATAAAAGGACTATTTTGTATGAATTTTGTGCATTTGTTAGCAAAAATAAATCTGAACAAAACATGAGTATCACGTCATACACTGTAAAAGTGGTCCGACATAAGACACAAAACACAAGTTTTAGCTAAATAGCCTATAAACGCGAATCCCCAATGCAAGATGCAACTCTATTCATGCATTGGTTGTGTCTAAACAGTTAGATGCTTCAACTGTTTTTTTTGTGAAATGATCCACTGGTTTAAATCCCATCTGTCTACCCATGTCATGTTTAAAATATTATCCTGCTGCAGTGAAACAGGAGTTTAGGAAATAAAGCTGATTATGGTGTGTAAAAAGCGGGGTGATAACCAGCCCCCACACCTTTTAATCAAAGCTGTTTTCCCCGGGGTGCAATTTTCACTTTTTCTTGTTCTAAGTCAAAGTGATAAGGAACAATTCAGCAGCCCCAAATAGCAATCATCTTATTTGAGAAGATTTGTGTCTGTCTCCAACAACCCCTGACAATTTAAAGGTCATCTTTGCTGTAATAAACTGAGATTGTACTAAATAAACCGTTCGAATGCGCGCGCGATTCGCACATTGTCAAAGGCAGATGTAAGTTAATAGCAACACATTATTTCCCGCACTGTTAATGCATATGGGGACGCTTCTGCTGGGCAATTAGCAGATAATGGAGTGAAAGACAGGTATTGTATTACATTCATGTGGCTGATGATGATGATGATGTCACTGAGGGACAGCGCGTGAACTCAGGTGTACAAAACCCGCGCGCCTTCCCGCCAAATCAGAGGAAGGAATTTACACGTTTTCTCTTTTAAAAAGGCGGCTTTCTTACACACGTTTTAGTTGATAAAAATATTATCTATATTTAAAATGATCTATATTATTTAAACATTTACCTATTTTTTTCAATCCTTAAAATTATAATTATTTGTACCCGTTTTTAGCCTAAACATTCCGACATTCTTAAAATGGGACAAATAGGCCTAATTAGAATACCTATAGGATTTTTTTGGTAACATTAAGGTTAACAAGCATTGTTGCATTATATGAAAAACAACTAAATAAGTTAAGTAATCTTGATCTGTTGGAGTAGGCAAGCATTAAAAAAAAAAAAAAAAAAAAAAAAAAGGTTACGTGGACACAAAGGCAACCTATTTACCACTCATGCTTTTAAAACCGGAAAATCAAATCACTGCAATTATAAGAAAATGAAACCCAAAAATGAAAATTAGCTGAAAATGTACTCAGGCCATCCAAGATGTAGATTTCGCCATGAGAACAGATTCGGAGAGATTTAGCATTCCATCACTTGCTCACCAATGGATCCTCTGCAGTGAATGGGTGCCGTCAGAATGAGAGTCTAAACAGGAACTGCTACTACATCTTGTACAATAACAAAAAGACTTAACATGAGTAACTACTGCATAGATCCACAGCTATTTTCAAAAGCAACCAAAAATTCCTGATAAGAAACGTCTCTTCAAACAAAATGTACACAAATATTTGTTTGGCCAGTTAAAATGATAAATGCAGGGAGTAAGTCCATATCAGCACTGCATGTTCACACAGCACTTCATAATAAACAGGCATTTAAAAAAACGCTGTGAGGAGGATACAGTGATGAGGGTGGATGCTGCAGTCAGCTGGGAGACACTTGTGTGGGTATGACAGAAGGAAGGTGGAAGGAGGAGCATGAGTCTCTGCGGTGTATGAGTTTAAAGAGCAGCTCCTCTTTCTCCTGGCTGAGCTTCTGGTTCTGCAGAGACTGCTTCTCTAGCGCCTCCTGCAGCTCGTTCTGCTCCTTGGACAGTTGTCTGAAAGAGGACGACAAGAGTTTATGGAAAAGCAGAAAATAATATTATATCCAATAAAAAAATAAGCCTTTATTTTATGTAGACACATACATTCAGTCTATTAAAACTTCAAACTGATAACTGGGCAATCCTGGAAATAGCAAGGGAATGTTATTAACAGCATATAAAACGCCAGGTGGCGCCACATACAAGCATTTGAGCTAACAAACCTTCACTCTGACACTATCAGTGCAAGAATAAAATAACAACAGGAAAACTTACGTTTAAAAAGCTTTTTATTATATTTGGACAATAGCAAGTTAGAGACTAGCAAGTGACAAGTGATACTGTATCATATTTGAGAGACAAAGGCCTCTAAATTATCAACATGATCAAAACTTTGCTGATTTCTGTGAAATCTTTACTTTAAGTAAATGTAAGAGTATTATATTGTTAGTCATTTTTCAAGATGAACACGTGCTTTTTTTATTACTTTTTTTTTATTTTTACAAAAATCATGTTAAAATGCATCAAATATGATGCATCAGGCTTTTGAAAAACATTTATTTATTTCTCTATCGTCATTGTATTGCATGCCATTATGACAGTGACAACTAGTATTTATATGCATTTTATGCAAGGAGTCCTACTGAAGTCCTATACTGTTATAAAGATCTCATTGATTTACATTACAAGCTTTTAGAATTTTATCTTACTTTTTAGCTACACAGCAACACCTGCACAAAATTATATATTCTTGCTTCAGTATGAGCTCCATATTCTCTTATATCATACTATATGAGTCATAAAAGCCTGATGTATCAAATATGATAAAAAAAAGGTTTGCATGTGTTTTTTTTTTAGGACTAAAAATGTTTTATCTAAAGGGTCAATAAACTGTTCCCTTAAAAATATCTTACTATTATTTCATATATCAGGTTTGCAGGGTTAAACAAAATTAAATAAATACAAAAATATCAGTCTATTCCATTGCCATATCGAATCTTCATAAAATCCTTGTAAAATTTCGGAGATGATGCATGTGCTACTACTTACATTCCCAAACAGAATTGCAATAATTCCTGCCACTGGCTGCACAAACAAATAGTCCTGCCCCAAAAACAATGAGCAGAGCAATGTTTTGATAGCACTACAAAAGCACAGTCACAGTGCTTCCACATTTTGAGAGGATCAACCCCTAAAAATGAGGGATGCTCCGATCAGGATTTTTGCAGCCGATATTGAGTATCGATTTCTTGTCATGGTGATCAGTCGATACCGATTCTGATGCTTCAAGCTTTATATAGACGGTTTCATCGGGCGCACGCACCTGGGCCGAAGTTAACTTCCGGTCTGTGTTTGTTAATCAGTCTGGCTATGGCTCCGGCTACAAACACAGTTAAAGTTAAGGCGACGAGTAGACTGAAGTTGGGCTCAGGTGGTTGTGCTGTGGGATGTGTTTCCCATACATTTATTTATTTGTGGCACTCGCCACAATATCAAAACTGACCGATTTTCCAAAAGGCTTCGTTGAATAAACATGAGCACGTACTGCACGTTTAAAACACGAGGCGTGGGTGTTTTTATGTCACTGTATTTCTGAAGGAAGACTATCTTTAGAAATTTTAGATGTCATTTCATCTTGCATGTTATATGCCTGATAAAGCAGCGTTTGTGAGCTCAGCGCTGCTGGTACTGGCTTACGTTTTAAAATCACAAAGGGAGTTTGGTCCCATCAGGCTAACGTGACAGTCACGAGTCATGCAGCTGTAAGGTTTTCTTTTTCTTTTGTTTTACTCGCGATCTTTACAACACGCATTACATTACATTAGGTATTTCATGGCACACTCGTTTTATGCGTATTTGGCGCCACCTATTGTTGTGGGTGTATTATTGACATGTCAAAGTCTAGACCCTGAATACAAGACGACCGCATTTTTTCAGATGTATTTCCAAGAAAAAAACATCGTCTTATATTCGGGTCAATACGGTAACTACATTTTTTAAAATACATTTTTTTCCATGAGGCAGACGATTTCGTGTGTGTGTGTTCGTTCGCCTGATCGGGAAGTTGCAGTGACAGAAACGGTGACATTCCAGATAAAGTTTGAAAGGAGTAAAGCTTGTGTTAATGCTATTGAGTAGGCTAATATGGCCAAAGAAGATATTTTGTTTTATAAATACCGTTAAATGTTCATTTAAAAGCAGCCCACGGTCAACGTATTATGTTACCGTTATCCCTTACGACTCCGACGAGGTTTTGTTCCGTCCTCCACACTGTGACAACTCACAAAATACTTTTTTTAGCCAAGCAGCGAGGAGAGCCGCTTCAGAAACGTGCAGCGGCTGGCTGGTATAAACACAAGCACTGACTAGATCGGCCGCGATCAGCTCCGGTTCCCGTGGAGCTGTAACGCGCCGCAGACGAATGCAGTGAGGCGCAGATCAGCTCTAACGTCCCTGAATCTGCTGTTAAAAATGAACCATCCATTCATCATATCATCATGCAAAACATACATGACAAATAGCGAATTTTTCATTGTTTCTCGAAACATCATAGCATTTTCACACTGGCGATGACATGACTGTGGCGCCAAATCATTTATGTCCCCACGCATCATGTACGTCGTCACGCGTTGACGTCATCAAATTGCAATCGGTTCCTGAGATCGGCCGAGTGAAGCAAGCACCGATCGAGTCATAAAATGTGATTATCGGCCGATACCGATCTCCGGCCGATCAATCGAAGCATCCCTACTAAAAATGCATATTAAGCTGAGAGAGGAGAAAGATGACACATTTAAAGTAAATCTAGATAATGAATGTTTCTTTACTCTGTCAAACGTTTTCACCCAGAAAGAAGTGCACACTTGGTCTCACTATTTTAAAATACTTAGTTTGCAGATTGAAGTAAACACTTACTGTATGAGGCTTTGGTAGTTGTCTATCCGCACTCTGTAGTCCTCGCTCTGCTGGAGAGCCTGCAGGAGCTGATCCTCCAGCGACAGCTTCTTCTCCACCTGACAATCACAACACAACAAGAAGCAGAAAGTTATCAAAATAGCTGACATATTGGGAAAAAACTGGTTTTGGTTTGAGTTGATGACTTGTGCATTTCTTTATGCAAACAAATAGGTCAATTTGCCACATTCAAATAAACGCATGAATACACAAATAATGCACCTGCTCTTTCTTATTTCTGTACATTATTTCTCATTGACGGAGTATAAAGCAGATGACTTGTTTAACAAAGTCGATATAACCAATCTTTTTTAGATGGAGGGACCAAATGTAAAAATTGAAGAATCTGCCACTGAAAAATACATATTGATTGACCTCTAATTAGAAGATCACGAGTTATTGGCCCACAATAACTACTGATACAAGTTCATACCAGTGTTTCCATCTGCAGCAGCTTGTTCCCCTGGTCCTGTAAACGCTCACGCTTCATTTCGATGACAAATAACAGACTCTCCTGCTCCTGCTCCCAGAACGCACCAGGACTGCCGTGAGTCTGGGATGAAAAGACAGATACAGCTGAATACTGCAGCTATCTGAAGCACGCTTTGCCAACGGATCTCCACTCTCATCATAACAAACCTCAATATTTCTCTGAAGGTCTCTCTTGAGCGTGGACTCCTCCGCTCTGCGCTTTAACTCGTTGAACAGCTTCAGCTCTGACGTCAGCCCTTCAATCTGATCCTGAGTTCATAGGAAGTTCAGAGCAATCACTTCAAAATCAAGTCTGGTATGTCTAGCTTGACATGGGAAGTATATTAGATCAGCTCTCAATCAAATGTATTAAGGCAAATCAGAGCAGTGATGTTACAAATAGATGCGTTTTACCTTCAGTGCATTCTCAGCTGCTGCATGAGACTCATTTAAAACATTCTTCTCTTCACTGTGTAATCGCTGTAGCTCTGCAAAGTAAACAATTATTGAATATTACTATTTACCAAAAGATTATTTCTCTCATATATTATATATATATATATATATATATATACATACATACATACATACATACACACACACACACATTAATGCTCTTAGAAAATGTGTTTGCCAGAGTTACTTTACATGTCTGCGTTTGTCAGCTGTTGTTAGTAATACAGTGCTGCTGTGCTCTGACCTTCTGTTGCGCTCTGATGCTGCTCTAAGGTGCTCCTCATCTGTTTTTCATGAAGATCATTTAGATCAGCGGTTATCTCAGTCTTTACCTGTTAACACAAGAAATTATGCATTTATTTATTATTTAATGCCTTAGCAGCAAAGGCTATTTTCATGGCAATGTAGTACAAATTAAAGTGCCCCTATTATGGGTAATGAAAGGTTCATGTTCATATTTTGGTTTTGGGAGTCCCCAACAACAGGTTGACATGCATGTAAGGTCAAAAAACACTTTCATTGTCTTATAATATGCATTTATTTTTACCTTACTTGCTCAACGACTCCCAAACGATTTGCTCAGTGATTCATTTTTCCAAACCCCTCCTTTGCGTGATGCTAATCTGCGGTGATTGGTCCGATTGGTCTCATTTTCATTTCATCATAATGCCTGATAAAGCAGCGTTTGTGAGAGCAGTGCTGCTTTGTGTACAGCGGTACCGGGGAAACCGCTATTTTTACCGCTCCAAAAGCGGCACGTAGTGGCAAAGAATGAATTTGCATTTTCATTCAGACCAACGCGAAAATCGACTGATGGTCAAGTTTTCCCAAGTTTGCGTGCGCAACAAGTGGGCGGACAATATGCTAATGTTTCACGTTGACATCAACATGAAACGGCTTGGGATTAGTTTTAAAAACGACTCGTTTCAATGATTCAGAGTCGACTCTTTCTTTTGAGAGACAATAACTTTATTCACGGTGCACTTTTAGATTTAAAACTTTGCAGGATGTTTTCCTTCACTTAGAGCTGTGTTACACACTGCATGAAAGGTCATTTTCAAAAATCCATAATAGGGGCACTTTAAAATAAGAAACTTCTATAAAGAATGATATGCAGTAATATTTTCAATATATATAAAAATACTGTTTACATAAGATCTTTCAGTTTGATATTTGATAGAAGTTTACCCAAGGATACTTTGTTTTTTTGTTTTTGTTTTTAAAAGTCCATTAATAAAATTTCTAAATAAATCCATTTAAGACATGATACAAAAACTTGGATAAATAAAATAAATGGATAAATAATAAGCAATAAATTAACAATAAATAAATAAGTTATAAAATTAATTATATGATAAATTAAAATATCAATTGCAATTGAGATTATAAAATAACAAATAAACTAAAAATTCTAAAATGAAAAATAAATCTGAATATCTGTCAAACTACCAGTAAAACTTAAGCAAACCTGACGGAGTTCTCATTAAAAAAATAAATAAATCACAGTATACATTTACAGTACTATAATGAGCTGGAATGGATAGTAAAGGAAAAGTAGTAAAGAAGTGCCTAGGTGTGTACCTTATAAAAGGATGTTTAGATAATGGCCAGAGCTGGAGAGATATATATATATATATATATACACACACACACAAATATATATACAAAAACCTCCTTTTGGGGAATTATTTACTTGTATAAACACTATTAAAAAGTAAACAAAAAACAATTTAAATAAATGAAAATAAATACTTTTTTTTTTTTTTGTAGAGATGTTTCCGGTTGGGATAGGTTATATTATTTATACATAGCTTTTTATACAAACAATGTAATGTTTTATGAAATGTTCCCAATTATATTGCTATATAATTGTGTTTAACTGTTAATAATTTTACATAATAAATTAGTCTGCAAAGTTAAAAAAAATAAATAAATAAAATAAAGCCATCTTTGTTCTCTCTTGTTAAAACAAGCAGTGCTCTACTGTGTTTAAACACACAAACCAGCCCTCTTTACAGGGCAGTGAATAACATCCCTCCCTGCAAACAGGTTTAGCTTTGTTGGTCAGAGGTTAGCACAAGGACAGATGTACCAAAGCACACGTTCCCAAACCCTGAACAACAGCGCACAGAATCAGCCTTGTTCCCAATTATGCTGTAATGGAAAAGCATGTCTTGTTTATTGGCGCTGACAGCTTCATAACGTATAACCGCTGACATAATCCGGGATCAGGATACTAGTCGTTCTTGAATGCCTACATGAAGCTACATGTACTTGCAATGTATTCCATTCACACGACAAAAAGAAAGGGTTTTGAATAAGAAGAGCTTTCAAACTCTACCTTCTCTATAATGCTGTGGACTAAAGTGCAGATGTCTCCAGGATGGTCCTTGAGGAGCTGGTCTCTCTCCTGGTCTCCTGAAGCCGTCAAAACTGCATGTAGTATCTTTAGCTGACACTCATAAGTCTCCAACAGATTCTCCTCAGATGAGCATGTACCTGGGGGAGAGCAATTGAACACTACATTGTTTGCTCTATGATACATCTGAAACAATATCTCCATGAGCTTAAGCCAGAATCGCCCACGGCCAGCAACACAAGAGTATTAACAGGTCCCTGCAGCCCAACATCAGCGCTACTAAACCCTGCGCTTTGATTCGATTCAATATCGATTATTTTGGACATATATCAGGTACAGTACTTGCCAAATTTTCAAGGAAAAAAAAAATCTCTCAACTAATGCTGTAAAATATACGTGAGTCAGTTGGTACTACAATACTATAATATTGAAGGTTAAAATTGACTGATTTGTAGGCTATACTTTTTTTTAAATGTGACGTACTGACGTTACATGACACATTGTTTACAAGTCATTATTGACGTCTTTGCGAGGCTGAAACATTGATTGAGCGATTACATGAGATAGGATACAGATTGTAAAGTTGTACTCTTTCTTCTAACTTAACTTAGGATGTTTAGTCATGTTTATTTTGTGCTGAAACTGGTATTAATGTGGAGGAGATGATCAGTTCTACCGCGTCTGTTGATCGAGGCGCTCCAGCGATCTGTCACTTCACATTAAACAGTGCCAAACCTGCATTTATTGTTTAAATACTGCAATACAATGGACTAGTGTTGTCAAAAGACCCGGTATTTCGGTACCAAGTCGGTACTAAAAAAGACAGAAGTTGAAATCTGAGACTTTGTTTCATATTAAAAGTACCAAAGCACAATGCTTATTGCGATTTATTGGATGGGAAGTGCCCTTCATTGTTCCGTCCATTAACTGAAAACTGGCTAGACTAATCGATTCTTGGGATTTAAGAATCGATATCGTTCCGTAAAAATGAGAATCGATTAATATCGAGATATCGATATTTTTTACCCAGCCCTGAGATATATATATATATATATCTTCAGTGTCACACAATCCTTCAGAAATCATTCTAATATGCTGATTTGCCGCTCAAGAACTTTCTTATTATATAAACAGTTGTGTGGCTTAATATTTTTGTGGAAACTGATACATTTCTTCAGAATTTTTTGATAAATATACAGAACAGCGTTTACTTGAAATAGAAATATTTTGTACAATTATTAATGTCTTTACTGTCAGTTTTGATCAATTTAATGTGTCCTTGCTAAATAAAAATAATTAATTTATTTCAACCCCCTTACCCTTACTGACTCTAACGTTTGAACAGTAGTGTACTGTACATAGACTCTAGTTAACAGTGTTAAGCAAAATGAAAGACAAATATTCTAACTTCTCCAACGGGATGGTCTTCCTGCTCAAAACATTAATACGCTTATTGTTCAGTTTATTATCATGCTGTCCACACATTTAACAAGCCCTGAAATTCAGGAAGAATGCTGTCATACATCCATAGGGAGTAAAGAATGTGGCATTCTAGTGTGAACATCTGAAGATGGAGCTGAAGGTCGGCAGCGTTCACAGGTGATTTAACATTTTGAAGCTTACGTGCCAAAAGTCTGCAGAGATATAGCCTACACACGCGGCCTCAAAACACTCACAGGTGCAAAATATCTCTCCTTTGAGAGCAAAATCTCCTGTTTAGTTCAGGTAAGAGATGTGTTTCTCAACAAAACAAATTTTCACAGCTCACTTAAGATTTGAGAGCTGTAGCAAAGACTGTCAGTGAGTTAAATTTCACAATTTCACATTTAGTATGACTTTCAACTATTATCACCATGATTTTTGGGGCTTGATGGCCCCTTCTCTCCTTTCTCTTCAACTCTACTTTGGAGCCAACACCCTCATTCAAGAACAAAAATCAAACCTTGTCAAATCATCCTGGTTAATAACTACTGAGATTCTCACTGTCACTTGAGACTGTTTAAATGAGAAATGACAAGACATGTGCGGTTACGTGTCAGGGTGAGACACAAGCCAACCAAAACATGACACTTATGTTTCACGCAATCCACAGTTTGAAAGGAACCAAAAGCAAATTATGTCATCCTGCCCATATACACTTGTACAGAAACGCCCGCCTGGAGGGCATTCAGCTTTCTTCTGCTGAATGCCACTTATTTTTATCAGGTTTATATTAGGAACTAATGTACTAAGACAACGATATTAAAAGAGCAAACTCAGTATACACCTTATTAATCATGAAAACTATGTACAGAAAAGATGCAGCCAGAATACAAATTCAGCTTGCTTAATTTGCACGTAAGGCATTTTTCCATTGAAAAGCATTATAAAGAAAATGCTTAATATGGCTAAATGCATTCATATTCTGGGCTCAGCCGCTTGCTTATATAGCTTGCATCAATCAGTAAGGTGTATGCTGAATTTAATCTTTTAATATCGCTTAATACATTAGGACACATTATGCATTTTTTTTTTTTTTACAGAATTATCCACTATTTTTAGTCATTGAAATACTGCGGCAAGTGCTTTGTATGGATCGCAAGTGCCCAAAACTTGCAGTTTGTTCACATCACTTTGTTTTTCTTCTTTTGAGAGGTGATTTAAACTCGTAGCTTGAAACAGATGGAAAATTGACAGGGTTGTGCTGCAGTTCGATGGATGTTTTGCCCTCCAGGTCGCCACGCCAGTCATGTGGCCGAAAACTATGAATAGCATTTTAAAGGTCTACAACTTTCTAATAGTGAAACAATTTAGTAGGCTAGGCTTACTTTTCAAAAATTAATCAGCAATAAAAACCCAGAACAGGAACTGCTTGCATCTCATAATTCGGTTTAATCCACAACAAACGCTATTATGCATTTGCTGGCTGTCTGTGGCAGGGAACCAAATGTTCTGTAACTTTAATGAACCCATGGCTTTATTGCACTTCGCCGTCATGTGGTTATTTGCTTTTGATGCAGCTCCAATAGAGGCTGTAATAGTGAGTGTAAGGCTTTCTCTGTTTGGTCTTCAGAGAATTTTCACACTTCTCCAGTTGTCCATGTCAAGTATACTGACACATGGCTATGTGATTAACAGGACCAAATGAACTCTGGCTGTTTATAGATCACATTCAAACTTGCAGTGAGAAACTCGGTACCCTGTGTCTGTCACATCCAAGCCTAGTGAATATAAATCCTTCAGCAATCTGGGCTAATGAAAGCTTGACCCTGTTACTATCAAAGCCAGATTTCCCTGTATGTTTGAAGGACCCAGGAATGCATTGATTTTTCTCATGCATTTACATTAAAAATGTCAAATCTAAAGTGCCAATGATGTTCTAGTGGTTTTGAAAAAACATTAAAATGCAGTTTATTAAAATAAATGGCTATATATGTCTCTTCTATGATGAACATTTTCAATATGACTATGTGGTCAAATGCAATTTATTAAAATAATTATTATTATTTTTGGCTTATTATAATTATTAATGGCTATATATGTCTCTTCTATGATGAACATTTTCAATATGACTATGTGGTGCGACTGCCCAGAGTTAGGTGGAAAATTACAATTAAAATGCTGAAATTCTTGAAAAACAGAAATATTTAAATAAGTAGTTTGACAATCTACATAAAGCTGACAAGACCTCTGCAGACCCTCACGCATACGTGTAAAGGTCAGTTAAAATACATCACATTTTCCTCAGGTAAAACAGAATAACCCTAAGGAAAAGTCTTTGCACGAGAAAAAAAAAATTTAATATCTGTATAAAAAATATTCCATATTGAAAAACATGAACCAGTGACATAACACTTTTTTCCCCTTTAATGCATTCAAAAATACATTAAAAATGCAAGTCACAATCAAAATAACTAGGTTAAAAAAACACACATAATACTAAATAAAAAAGGTCCAATTAAAATACTGAAATTCTTAAATTAAAAAAAAAGTTTCCATAAATATCCTAAATAAGTTTCCATAAATACTTAAGGGGTCAATCTACATAAAACAGACATAATCAGGTCATTAATTATTGATTTTCCTATTCCTTTTTTTGACATATCACATGTCACTTATGAAAACGTTCATTTTGTTCGTCAATTAATTAATTATAGTTAATTATATTTACAAAGCTGTGTACCAAAATGCATTCATTAAAACCGCTAAATTATAACATTTACAGATAGTGATACAAATGTTTTCCAAAACGTACGAAACCAACAGGTAAGCTATACAAGAGGGTGCGTGGCTAAAAACTACATTTAAATTACATTTAAAAGGAGTTCATCTTTTTTACCACCTCGTATATCCTGATTTTGTCATTGACCGAAATGCAGAACAATTTAAAAGCGGGCACAAAGTGCTCAAACTTAAATGCTGGATAGCACGCCTTTAATTTGTCATAACGATGTCAGCAGCACATTTTAAACAACAGTAGATCTCAAACCCGGCGTCTGTTTCTAATTAAAACTTTCACAAGTCGACAAACTATGAGAGCTTTTGCATCGCACTAGGGAGGAAGTAACTAGTGATTTGAGAGAACCAAACAAGAGTGGCTCCCAGAATACAGACACATATGCACGTGCTGTATTTGCAATATTTCTCGCCTCTGACATTGCTGCGGCTCTCATTGTGAGTTTGCATTATTTGTGAACATCCTGAGAAGGTTTTAAAACGACCTACCTTTTTCCGGGAGACCTGGCCACAGACCTTGCTGTTGTGACAACCCATGCTCCTCTGCTCTGCCTCTGTATTCTAGCCCGTTGTCGCTGGTAAGTTTTTGGCTGTCTGCAGCAGTTCAAATATGAGCTGAGCTCTCATTGTCGAATAGGCTGAGAGTGAGCAGAGGGGCGGGAACTGCAGCGTCAGGGCGGCGTTCCGAAAACGCAGGATGCATTTACACGAACAAGCGGGAAATTGGTGAATCTGTGCACAGCTGCGTAAACTGATGCACACCGCAGCTTCCTCGAATGCAAAAAATAATCATAATAATAATAATAGGCTAAGTAAATAAAGAAATAAATAAAATAGTTTATTTATACAACAGTATGTCCCTAAATATTATGTTCATTGTTTTCCCCCCTCATTTCTTTCTTTCTATGTAATGTATTTTTTTCTCTCTCTTTTGAATTTTAATTGCCGTATTGTTTGGCCATCCTTGAACCCCTGTCTCTCTTTTTTGGCGTATGTTTTTTCACATTTGTATTTCCTGAGCAAGTGTTTAATAAAATAAAATAATAAATAAATATGTCCCTAAATATAATAAAGCTAAATTAAGTCTTTATTAAATAAAGTAATTGTTTATTAAATAATTTTACATTGTTTATTATAAAAATATTAACAAAATAGAAAACATGACAGAATAACACGGTGGATATCGCATTTTGCATACAATTAAAAATTGTCTTTTTAAATACCGACCAGATACAATACTGATTTTGGCGGGAACTCTCTCTCTTTTTTTTTTTTTAAATGGCGTTTATCGCATTTTGGA